TTTCTGTCACGCTTACAACACATACAAGCACGTACATGTGCATGCACAGGCGCATACACACACATGCACAGAGGGTTGCAGGTCAATTACAATGTGTTAATCAGGCTGGGAGTATTTGTTCTTGCCCCGAATACTACTGGGGCTAATAAGGCAGTACAACACTTATTTGTCATGCTACACCTGGGTGTGCGTGCACATGTGCATGTTTGTCTGTTATGGCTTTTGTGACGCCAGCCCGCATGTGTACGTGTGTACAAATAGACAACTGAAGTTATATTCAGTAAGTATGCCAAATGAATTTGGCATCTAATGATGCTTGAAGGAAGAAATAGTAGCAACAAAACAAACATTACATATCTCATTGTGACATTTTGTCCTTAAACTGACAACCTGTAAATAGAAGTGAATCCTGTCAAATCCAACAAATTTAAAAATATATATATATAGTATGTTTTTATATATTTAGAATATTTTCTTGTTTACTCCCCCGTTCAGACCTCTGGCCCTCAGACATGGTATTTATCAAAACACATATTCACTTCAATTTATCAGCCACATCCCCCAACAGATATTTCAAGATAGATTAACTTAGGTTTATCGCTTTTATACAGATTCACACACACACACACACACACACACACACACACACACACACACACACACACACACCATACACATACACTCAAACTTTCCAGCATGCATTACAATTAATTTATAATACTCACTCTGGGAGCGTTTTCAGGGAACACTTAGCTTGATTGGTTATTCAGTAATTAGTAATATCACTAAAAGTTCAATGTTTCTATCCGCTTTTAGCAATTATTAGATTGGAAGGAGAGGACTAAATACTTGCGGCTCATTTATTATAAGCATACTTATTCAAGGTAGGATTCTCCATCATTGAGTTAAAATGGAAATTCTGCTTTTCTATTCTCCAGTATTTGGATGGCCACTAATGCTCACGAGTATCGATTGAGCTGTCCGAGGTCGGCAGACTAATGCATTAATTTTTTCCACTGCAGTTGTCCTCAATATATTCCTAATAAATCTTTGTCAGTTAATAGGTATATTTTTGATTTCTTTTTTTTTTCCTCAAATAAAGCATCAGGTTTTACTTCTCGTGCAGACAAATCAGACAAGTCTTTCTTTATGGGGCTGTTTGTGGTTCTTTACATTACATACAGTGTAATAATCACTGAAACATATTCACATTGGGGTTTTTGATTTTCTTTTTTCACAGCTTTAATAATGCTATAAGAATGTGCACCTTTGAATAACCAAAATATTGCCGCTTGCTAAAGAAATGCTGTTATCTAATAGAGCTAATTCTTGACATTAATGTTTTACTGTTGTGAGATGACTAGTTAGATATCATCGCCCAGGCAATGAAATAAGTAACTTCAGAGAACATCTTAAGGCATTTTTTCAAGCAAAAACGACAATAACAAGCCACTTAACTATGAACACATTTATATTTTTATTAAGTTACTGTGTCTATGATATTGTAAGGTTAATATGAATAATGACACTTCGATACCCTTCGATAAGTAACATGCATTGCTGGCCTTTGTAATTAATATGTCACTCTTCCAAAGAGAGAGAGAGAGAGAGAGAAACCTTTTCTACTTGTAGTTATTAAATGAGACATACAATTAAGCACCAAAGACTTTCCAATTAATGTATGAGTGGCTGTTGTTATGACAAAGAGGTTAGGATAATTAATGTTACCTGTCATCCCGTTGGTAATTAAGCTCACATGACAGCATTTGCAGCAAGGCCAGACTAATTGATTTCTAAGCCACCCAACCCCAAACATATGGTTCCAGTATCTGCGGTCTGTCATTCACTGGAGTCTCATCTCACCTTCAGCGAACTCGTCTCATCAGTCACTGTCTCTGACTTTTTTCATCCTTTCTTTGTTCACATCTTCAGCTGCTTTTCCTTGATCCAGCCTGAATCTCTTCAGCTCTCTCACATCTTTCTCTCTTCATTACTCATCGGTCTTGCTCTCAGCTTCCTTCTTTTCTTGCTCTCTTTCCTTCACACTCTCCCCTTCTCTGACAGGTGGTGTAGGTCATATGGCAATAGGGTATGAGGTCAAAGGTGACAGGTCATGTAAAGAGTCCATTAGTGCCTGCTACTAACATTGAGCCTTATTGACCTGCGTGTATTTGTCTGCATATGCTCACACAAACATGTGCACTCACGAGGGCACGCCTGTTCTCAGATATCCACATGAACGCATTATGCAGATTAGGACTGAATGGTAATTCATTAATACAGTGATCTAGACTGGGCAGATTTATTTATATGGGGAATTCATGCTTGAGGCAATTTCAGAGGGCTTTACATAATATTTAAATTGGCTGTTATTTAGAAGTAAAACACTTTGATGAAGCTTTTTAAGTTGATCAGAGTCGAGGGAAATCAGTTATAATGTAGATTTCAGGAACATGGGTGTTTTTATTATTTGAAATTGACATTTTAATACTAACAAACTATACACTAAATGAAATACATGCGTGTGCATTATCATTATTATTCATTCCATTTATCTAGATAAGGATGGTGGATTTTTTTTTAGTGTTACAAATTTGTAGTTTCCCCCTACATTCCTGTTTTTAGCTGACCGTACGTCACCAGCCCGACAGTCGAGTGGCTGGGGCTAATCTGACAGGAGAGAAAGGGCCAAACAACGTATTCAGTTTTAAAACAACAACAATTACATCTAAGAGTTGGAAAGAAGACATTAGAGCAGAGCACTGAAGGATAAAATGGATATGGGAGAAACCATTTTTTATGATGATGTATTGTGTGCTGCGCACCGGTAAAAACTGCAATGGAGCTACGTTTGGATGCTAAAAAAGTAATTGTTTAATTAATCCCAATTGCAAGTGTTTTTGTAGATTCTTATTTATATTAGAACATGGATAGTTAACCCCAGGAACACATTTTCCATTTTTCAAAGATGAAAAGCACCTCCCACGATTTAGCTTTGAAATACAGAAGCTGGTAGAAAAGCAGCTGGCCTAGAGGTGACATCAGGACTTTAGGTCTCTATAGACCAATTAAATCAATACTTCTCCTTTACAGTGTCTAAGCAAAATGTTTTGGATTTGTTGCTGAGATTTTGTGTCAGATTGTATTAAAGTGTACAGATATTCATGCTACAGTGTCTGTGGACAAACATATGTAGCAGTGACAGGTTTAATCACAAAGCACATGTATGCTGCCATGTCATATCATATATTGACTGTTGACCTATACTTTTGGGCATGTAACCTCGTCCCTTTGGAGCTCACCTCTCTGTCTCCAACACACACACATACACACACTTCTAGCACGCCCTGTGTCATTGTATTAAGTAATTATTACAGCTCCCTTGGCTCACATTACCACTCTTCTTTCTATCACACCTCTCTATCTCTGTCTCTCACTTGCCATGCCCGTTGAATGTGTTATTTATTACTGCTTGACAACACTGTCTTCTTGCCTTCACATATTAATTGCGATTTGTACATCATCCATCCATCACTGTAGCAGCTCCTTCACTCATCATTTCACTCATGAATTCATTTATTCCCATTATGCACTCCCCTATCTTTCAAATTGCACAGACGTTCTTGTAGAGCCCAGGATCTCATATTGGGTGTAGTGCAGTAAAAGCCAAAAATGTGGGGGAGTTCCTTAATTCCTCCACTTAGTCACGCACAGCCTTTTTGTTAACTTATGCTATTTATTAGTTAATCCATCCACATGTCTCTCAGTATCCACATTATCTTTTTTTCCTCTTTTTTCCATCCATTAAGTCTTCCACTTCTAAACAGACTGAATGTGCTGTTGGCTGTGTTGGGCAGTAGCGTCAAGTAGCACCGTTACTAGTTTAACTACATTTCTCAGTAGCGTGGTGGTAGCATCGCTGTGAATCAAATGGCTTTTTAGTGAAGCTCTTTTATTGGCCGAGTAGCGCGGCAGCGTCCACACACGCTACATTTTCCCAAGCATTTCTGAAGGAAGGCAAAGCACTTCCGTGTGACGGTGACATCACGTACTGATCCTCGGGCTGATGTCTGCGACTTTGCTGCAGGGGAATAAAGACACACGAGACTGAGTTTACTTTCTGTTGTGACAGTTATTATAACACCTCTTGTGAGAAGGATCAGGGCCTGGCCACTTCTTCCTCTAGTGAGGAGGAAACTTGTGGCAGAAACTTGTTTCCATGAGATGAGAGATTTCTCTCTCTCTCTCTCTCTCTCTCTCTCTCTCAGGCCTATTGCCATGAATGTTTAGGTAAACAATGTTGCCAGAGCACAAATTCACATATAATCAATAAAAAAGATATAATTAATAAACAATGAAATTACATTATAAAAACTAAAGAAAGAGGGGAAAAAAACAACCAAAAACAAACTCAAAACACAAAATATGTTACATTGAAAATATGTTTTGCTTTTAATGACAAGCAGTAGAATTTTTCAGAGGAACAATTATTAAAAAAACAAACAGTATTAATGATAATAATGTGATCATTTTACTGTAACTTTATACAAACAACAATGGTTCTCAGAGGAAATACATTTTGCTACATGATATGGCAGTAAGTAGGAGAGTTTCTTTGTGTCTGATTTAGCTCTCTCTCGCACACACACACTGTTTGGTGCAGGTTTTTAGTCTTTCTTCTTTTGCTACTGTGGAATGAAGTTGGTTCAATATCAACTAGGCCTATACTGTGTATATACACTAACTATAGAATATTAAAAAATTTAAAGTAGCTTAGATGTAGTAAACTACTTTTGCCACGTTGCTGTAGCTTAGCTTGCTACATTTCACTGGGGGGTAGCTTCTGTGTAGTGAAGCTTCTTTTAATGTAGAGGAACTAGTAGCTTAGCTCACTATGTTTTCCAAGTAGCCCAACACTGGCTGTTGGAGCGTGTTGCTCTTTTCACGGTCTCTTCTCCAAATGCCACTCACTGTCTAACAGGAAGGCGTTTTCTCCGCAGGCAGCCAGTCCCGCTGTGGAGAAGCCAGCAGGGGTAGACCGACCCCACGGCAAACACACCTTCAGTGGCAGGTCAGTTTGTGTGTTCTTCTAGTACTGTAAGTCCCTTTTGCCTCCAATTCATCATGCTGAATCTGTGTTCTCAATATTGGGTTTGATTAAATGGTCTCTCTCTCGCTCTCTCTCTCTTTAAAATGCTGTGTAGTTGTGAGGATAGCTTTTGCATGTGCATGTGTTTGTGCCCTACTTTCTCTTCATTAAAGCTTTATTCTAATCCAGATCAAGGCCCTTGCAGATATAGCTAGTGTAAAGAAGCGCCATCATTAGCCCATTACAAAAGACTGCCAAAACAGGGTCAGGGTCATACACACTCACACAACGTGCACATTCATGTGTAGACTGCCATACACACATGGCCTCAAAAATAAACAGCTACAAACATACTGTTTTTTACTGAACACATAACACATGCATACACTAATGAGTGCTGCTTAATTAAGTGTTAAGGGTGCAGAATGCCCTCCTGTGGGCCTTTTTAACTGTGCGCAGGTCAGGCTCATGCACAGACAGTTACTATCCATGTAACAAACATGTACAACAATATACTAGGCCCCTATGAATCTGCTGATGAATAATCAGGTTAAGTCATTACTCAGGTTAAGATGTTTGCATCTGCTGCTTCTAGTTTTTCATAGCATAGGTTAAAACGCCCCCTCTGCATTATTGTTAAGCATCCACATTTTCCTCCAGTATTTAGCCTCACATCTCATGACACCTAACATGATACACCCTTGCATTAATGGTGCGTTCCATTTACCTCAGAAGTCGGAGGTCGGAGCTGGGAATGACGTCACACCCGAGTTGACGGCATTCTAGTTAACAAGTCGGAAAACCTCGCTCAACTAGCCAGGTTAGCTATTGATACGCCAGTTGATTAAAAAAAACGCATTGTGCGGTATTTACTCACACTAAACACTGTAGCAACACGACCACATACAGCTGTTGGACAGCACTTTGTGTACGAACATTTCTATGAGACACAAGTACACGCAAGTGCTAATAAACAGTATAAACTAGAGCTTTCACTAAGTGTTGATACCCCGACAGGCATCTTGGATCACGAAGTCGGGGAAGTGCGATTCTCACGACTTCCGAAGTCGGGATTACGACGTAAGGGGGCGTTCCCTTTGAAATTTTGACCTTTGAACTCGGAAATTCCGACTTCCCATGTCAACTGGAACGCACCATAAAAATGTGGCCTTTGCTGTGTAATTTTTTTTTCTTTATTTTAATACTATAGCCTGCAGTCAAACTGAGGTTGTCAGAAATCACTGGAGTTTAGTTCCTATATCGATTCTTAAAGAATATGTTTTTTGTTGTAATTTTAAATATTATTCCATTTTAACTCATCAGCATCAGTGGCTGAGAGGTAATTTAACAATTCAAGTGGAAAGAACGCTGGTGGCTGGCTTGGCAATGGGAGTGGAGATCAGGTAGAAAGGTGATCCTGTAGACAGAGAGAATTGGTGAAAGTAACTCAGGCATGCGAACAAACGAGCTGGCGTAAACTGGTATAGAGTTCTTAGTGAGCTGAAGCAAGACATACTGTGTACGGGCAGGGACTGGCTGTCAGCACAGGGCTCTAATCGTGGTGAAGTGACGACTTGATAGCACACAGGTATGCTTGATTGGAGATGATGGGCAGACAAAACCCACCAAGCATACCTCACACACCCTGAGGGTAGAAAATAAAAACACACTTACTCATCACAAGCAGTAGTCAGGAGACCATGTTACAGACAAAATGCTTAAAGAGGACCTAATGTGACCTATTGTGCTTTTTCATATTGTCTGGCATATCTACAATGTCAGAATGTCAGATTTTCATGGTAACCATGACCAAAGCTTCAAATAATGAGGTAAAAGTATTTAAAAGAAATCCACGTGAGCAAAAACCTCAGATTATCTCCCTGTTCTGAATGCTCTGTTTTAAACAGTTTTTTCTACTAACGGCTCGGTATGCTGTCATTTCGAGCTGGATTTCCATATATGGTCATTTGCTCCAGGCAGAGAATGCTGGCCACGCCCACATATGAAAATGCAGCCCTATTCCTGCGGCAACCTGGTAAACACATAAGACGATGGCCAATCAGAAGACAGTGGGCTTTGGAGAGGGGAGCGGGTCTCTAAGGCTACGTTCAGACTGCAGGCCTTAATACTCAATTCCGTTCAATAAGTTCACATTATAGTTTAAATGTGGCCTATATCAGACTCCACTGTGAACTGTCCGCGGCCTGAAAGTGACCTGCATGTGCAGAAGAATAACACGATGTCACACACAGCACGCTGTTGCAGGCTATAGAAGTAAACAGGGAGCAACAGGGGTTAGCTCTCGGGTCACATTTCTCCCGAATTATGACTAGTGTTCACAACTTTCTGTTCTTTCCTTTACGGTTTCTGGCGCTGTACAACGCAACTGCCCCACAACTCACTCACTCCCCTCTTTCTCACTCCCTCTCTCTCTCTCTCTCCCTCTCCCCCTCTCCCCACTTTGTCCGCTCGGACAAGTAGGATGCATGTAACTCAGAAGAGAGCCCCGGTTCGGTGAATTTTAGGCATAAGAAAAGGAATTTTGTTTACAGATGATAGCGAGGTAGAGAAGGAAGAGAGCCGCATGTTTAATTATGGCTTTTTGTGGAGCTTTATTGTTCAGCGCGGCTCCGTCTACAGCAGAACTGCTGCTCTACAGTGACGTCAAAGTCGCATCAAGTGCGACCTGAGTGTCCAGACTGAGGTCACATTTAAAAAGATCCGATCTGTATCGGATTTGGACCACATATTGAAGTGGCCCGAACGTAGCCAAAGAGACAGGAGCATCTTGTTTCAGACAGAGGCTGAAATGAGGGCCCGCATGAAGTGCCAGTATAAGATAGAAAAGAGCTTTGAATGAGGCAAAGCTGCCATAGATGAGTCACAGAACTACAATATAGGGCTGGAAATGCAGTAGAATAGGTCTCTTTTAAAAAAAATCAGGATAATAGTGATGCTACCCCAAAAGCATTATGTCCCCACCACCCCATTTCCAATTTACTTGATGTTACTCGAAGGTCTCTCTCACCTCTCGCAGACAAGCAGCGCCGTTATGAACATACAAAACCAAAGTGCCCACGCAATAGCATGACTCATACGAAACCAAGGCAGTGAATGGGTCAGTAAATTTGAGAAAGTGGCTGTTACATCATTGATCAACGTGCTCTTCTGTCTGACAACAGTGACCTCCGTTTATGTATAGTGTAATACTCTGTGCTTTTGAAATCAGCAGGTCAGAATGGCCATGCAATGAATCCACAATTTATCCATAAATACTAAAACAAAATAATATGTAGTTAACCTGTAAAGCGGATACGTAGTGCGAGAGCGTTATGAGAAAGCTATGTGGAGAGAATGATGTCTGACCTCAGCCGGAGCTGGTTTTTTCCATTGAAACCAGCTGCAACCACAGAGCACAGATAGATATTAGTTCACACAGACTCGTATACACTCACATACACCGTGCTCTATTCACAGGCGCTCTTCAGGCAAGATCTGGGCAGTAACTGCCTTTTAGTTGTCTTTCAATTGAATTATGTCATGATTTAATTTAGAGTTACTGCGATACCTAACCCTCAATTAATGATGAGAAGAGCATTCTGATTAAAATAACTAAATTTGAACATCTGAATGAAAGTAAACTGTTTGACAGTTTTAGGTTTATTGCGCTTAGCGATACTGTACACTTCAATGCAGTGAATAGAAAGGTAATTATTTAAGACCCCCAACCCGCACACATTAGTCTGATTTTCTCAAGAACCTTTTTTTGCACTTATCCTCTCATGTACACACACACAAACCATCTCAGCCGTGAGTAATGTAAGAGTGATGTAATGGTTTTTGTGGTCGGCGAGGAAACGATCCTTGAAATTACAAAAAATGTCCAAAATGAGTTAAGCAATGCAGCCATAAATATTGAAACAGTAAAGCATACGTTAAATGAATGTGTGGCTGTATATGAGCGTCTGCTGTTGTGTATGTTTCTACGCACATTGCGGCCCTCACTGTGCGTGTGCGTGTACGCCTTTGAGTGTGAAGCTACACCTATAAATACAGTAATGGCTCATCATAATTTTAACCGCACACCACCGTCACCGGAAAAGTCATTACCTTTGAATCAAAATGGGCTTTTTATACAGAGAAACAGATTTACTATAAATTGGTTTATTGAAATAGCATTTGGCAGCATGTTATATTTCTTTGTGAAATAAGGCGCTGTATTGGGGGTGTTTTAGAAGCTACGTGTAGGAAAGGTAAATAGGTTTCACTGGATGCACGTGACAAACTGGATGTGTAAAGGGCTGTCCAGGGTTAACAGAGCTTATTTATATCTTATTTTGGGACCTAACACTTCCATTCATCAACAACCGAGGATCCCTGTTGGGATGGTTTTGAGATACTCGGGTCTGTATCTGTTCATCTGTCCATCTCTCCCTCCCTTCCTCTATTCTTTGTTTCTTCCCTTTAGTTTCTGCCTCGTGATGTGTCTATTAAGTTTCTATATTCATAGTTACAGTAGGATACATAATGCTTCAGCTGAAATCTCGACTTTGGTGTTTCACTATTCCTTTTCTCTGTTCCCTTCATTACGCTTTACACAATGTATAAAAATCTTCCTGTCCTGCTCTTTATACTCTCACTTTTTATGTAGGGCAGTTAAATTAGTGGTCATTCCTCAAATAACTACTCTTTGGGTTGTTTTAACTTGATGTGTAAATGTGTTTGTGTATTTGCATAGATTAACCTTTAGCAGTGTCGTGCATTCTTACTGGTTTGCATTTCCTTTACTTCCTACATCTCTGGTGCTCTGCACTTTGAAGACCAGCTTTGATAGAAAAGGTGAGAGAGAGAGGGAGATGATAAATAAGAAGAGGGTGAGATACAGTGAGAGGAAGAGAGTGGTTTGGTAATGCACGCCCTCCTTTTTTTGTTATTTCTCCTCTGTGTTTCTGTCTTTCATAGCGAGGATCAGTGAACTGGCAGGTGGATAAAGAGAACACCTGCTCTCTTCATCTCTCTCTCTCTCTCTCTCTCTGCTTCTCTCCCACTCTGAGTTTGGCTTTTTCTCTGTCTCTTGTCGCCCATTGCGCTCTCTCCCTCTTTTCTCAAGTCTCACCCATTTTTTCTCTCTCTCTCTCTCTCTCTCTCTCACACACACACCGCTACTTCATTTTTTTTTGTAACGGTGCAACCTGTCAAACATCTCACACAAAAAATAAAAAAGGAAACGCAAATGGATATCAAGTGCTTGTGTGTGTGCTCGTGTTCTAGTATTAGAGATCAGAGGCACAGCGGTAGGAAGGGATAGAGGGGGAGGGGTTGATGTTATTTTTCCTCTCATATTTATGCTATTCATTAGCCTTGTCTAATTAATTCAGTGCCTCCTCCTCCCTTCATTTCACTATATCTTGCTTCCAGACCTCCCCTGCTTCCTACCTTCTTTTTTCTTTGCCTTTTCTCTTCCTGTTTACCTTGTATCATTTTTTATTAACCACATCGGTAGTATGAATCTAGTAGTGGTAATGTTGGTCACCACTTTGGTCCACTTTAATGTGAAAATCTCAATGACCAAGTGATCTCAGCACCTATAAATGATAGAATGGTGCCAGTTTTGGTGCAGACATCCATGGTTACTAGATGATGTGTGTAATGACATTGATGTTTCCCTGACTTTAACTCTTCCTCTATTATCAGGTTCAAATTAAAATGCTTTAAAGACTTCTTTTCTTTGTGTTTACTGCTAATGTTATGTAAATAAATGTTAGCATTTTAAAACACGTAACTAAGATGGTGAACATGATAACACCCCCTGCTTAACATTAACATGTAGGTGCAGGTGATTGTGAGCATGTTAACATACTGACATTAGCATTTAGCTCTGCTTCAATAGTGTATCTGTTGACTCTTATTCTGTGTCCCAAATTCATACTGCATACTAACTGTACACAGTATGGTCTATACCAATCTTTAGTTGACAAGCTCAACATTCTTATCAAGAAATTATATCATTTCTTGTCATTTCTTCCGCTGAACATCAAACTATCAATTAAACTTAAGCCAAATGTGAATGTGTAAAAATGTAATAATATATTTATTGTTTGGTTTTTGAGGTGTCCGCCGAGCTTTTTCACCACCATCCGCAATTGCCACTGTGAGCAGCTGACTTGTTGTTGACTTGACAACTTAATTTTATAATTTTTTAGTGTGAACATACTACATACTCAAAACATGTTTAGAATTAGTTTGTAGTATGGCATTGTGACATTTTAGTCTTATTTTTCCTTTAGCTCCCATCTTTTTACCTATCCACTGATTCATTTATTTATTTTATAAGTTTCTGCTTTCGTCTATACTAATAACCGTCATCTTTCTCTTCCCTTCCCTCCAACCCTTTCCCCTCCTTTTTTCCCCTCTCCCCACCTTCCTCTCGAAATCCCTCCCATACTTTTCACTTTCTCTCTTTCATCTTTCCTCCCTCTGTCCTTGCCTTTCTCTTCTGCCTTCTCTTGTGGTCCCTTGTTTCCTGTTGTCTGGATTAACTCAAATTTGCTGAGTGTTGATGAGGCAGTGTCAGCTTTGTGTGTTCGTGTGTATGTGTCTGAGGGGAAAGAGAGAAACAAGCAAAGTGTGAGAGAGAACTTGTTTTTGCACTTTGCATCTCTCCCCTGTTACCACCCACCATCATCAAACACCCTCTCTCTGGAATTTATCAGCATCTGTACTGCTATCAGTTCATGGGGGTTTAGGGATGGATGGATGGTCTAGAGAGGGAGAGGAAGACAAAACCATCAGACAGTTATAGAGAGAGAGAGAGAAGAGAGAGAGGGGAGGGTAAAACTAAAGAGTACAAAACTAAGTTCAGACAAACTCACACAGGAAAAAAACACACACACACAGGGAGCAGGGGGAAGGTCAGGGGAGGATTAATGGCTGTGCTCTGATAGATAAACTAATCAAACAAACAAAGACTTCAACACGCACACACATGAAAACACAGACAGAATGTAAAACAGACGCACACTTGAATAATCCAAACTAGACAAAGACAGAGAGAGACTGAAAGAGAGGAAGAACGCCATAGAGATGAGTGGCACAAAAAAGTTTTGAATAGAGTGTCGGCATTCCCATCACTAAGGTCTGGGTTCGCAGACACGAATTAGTCTTTGACAACCTCCATGGAAAATGATGTCTCAATCTAATCAAACATTTCCTCGGGAGACAAACACTTTGACTGCTTTTATTCTAGTGTCTGTATGCGTTTGTCTGCCACCCCACGTGTTTATGTGTGAGACCACGGCTACAATTCTGTCATCGTGCTTTTCTCACTTCCTCAGTTTGTCTTTACCTCATGTCTGTGCGTGTTTATAAGTAAGGATTAATCAGACATTTTATGTTAGCGTGTGTCACAGATTTGTCCCTGGTTAGCTAATCATTATGCAGAGTGTCTCTGGAAGCAAACAGAGCCCATAAAAAAGGAGGTACTGTTGTTAGGTAGTCAGCACAGTTCCCACAGGACTTTGCAATGCTGAATGCTTTTGTGAGATTCAGAAAATAAAGGTTCTTAACATTTTTATTTTATTTAGGGGAATATGAATATCCTATCCTATCTGCACATTACCAACAATTACAATATTGAACAAAAACATGTATTTTATTCCATAATTACAACAGAATAGTACAACCTTTTTGAAGTATAGAGTGGGCCTATTTTATGCTGCTCACTCCTCTTATCCAATATTAGCAGCAATTGTATTTTCCAGTGGTTGGCCTAAATTAAATCTGTCCTTTTATTTTCGTGTTACAGAGCTTGTACTTGTCTTGTATTTTACTATACTAATATTACATATCTTGTTTTTCTCCCACTGGTATGATTTTTGTGCTGTGTGTGTGTGTGTGTGTGTGTGTGTGTGTGTGTGTGTGTGTGTGTGTGTGTGTGTGTGTGTGTGTGTGTGTGTGTGTGGTTGTAATTGTGTGTTTAACTTTGTGTGTGTGCATAGCCTGACTAGAACGGTGGAGATCCTGGGAGAGGACAGTCCCCTGGGGATCCATGTGGTTCCTTATAGCTCATCGCTCAGTGGACGGTAAGTTGTGTGTGCGCGTGCTCACACACACACACACACACACACACACACACACACACACTCACAAAAACAGCAGATACTATCTATTAGCCCTGATTCTGTCCTTTAACCTCAAAAGGTCTGTTTACAGCTACAGTATGTGATAGAGTTACATCCCCATAATCCTGTTCTGCACTTGTAAGAAATTCTGGACCCTGGCACTACAGTACACAAACATGGCAACCACACACACACAATGGGGAAAAAGGGAAGGAAGAATGCGTTCTTTGGGTGTGTGACAGTCAGACAGACGATGGGGATTTCCTAAAGGAAACCAGGATTGGTTTTTATGTCTGTTCTTCTGACACTGACCCTGCCAATCTCCTCTTTAATTTCCTCCCCTTTCTCTGTTATTCTCCCTTTCTTTCTTTTTTTCTGTTCTCTCCCCCCTTTTTCCTGAACGCCTCCTTCGTTTTTTCCATCATTTACCAGCATCCCTGTCACCTCTTAACCTAGTTTCATCTTTTTGCAGCTGTCTGCAAAGTCCTTTGTGTGTGTCAGTGTCATCACTTCTGCTTTGTTAAGCTGTGTTTTGGTGAAGTAATTGTAGACATTAAGGGCACAGAGTAATGAAATAGTTGTACCTTTATCTCTCTCTTTATTACGTCTTAATATACATGTCTGCTCAGCTTTATGTCTTGTTCATGTGTGTGCTTGTCTGTTATGTTGTCTTTGTTACTCTACCTGTAAGCACTGTGCTCCCAGTTGGCTCTTATAAGTTAATATTGGATCATATAGCACTGATAGAAATCCACAACGGGACACGAGCAGACAGTTAAAGGTTGTATCTTTCATAACCATGTCTTAGTAAACCATATGGACGATCTCTGTGGGCTACTCCATCAAACACATCAGTCTTCTGGGACTCACTCGGAAAGTCACTTTCACACAGAAAGTGTGTGTGTGTGTGTGTGTGTGTGTGTGGCACGCATGTGTGCAAGGTTTTAAAAAAACATTTAGAGATGGGAACATCCATTAACCTTCTCTCCTTGCTCACTCTCCTGTCAGGTCTCTTGGTCTGTACATTCGTGGAGTGGAGGAGGAGAGTCGCTCAAGAAAGGAGGGCTTGTTTCAAGAGGACGAATGCATCGTCAAGATCAACAACACCGACCTCATGGACAAGACATTTAGCCAGTGAGTGCATTGTTGTTTGTGTGTGTCCGGTCTTGAAGGTCACAAAAGTTGAGTTTATTAGCTGCAACAGCGTACCCCTATTACATTAGAGGACAAGATAAGCATGACTCTTGTACCGTTCCTCAGCCTTTCAGTGAACAAACTGCTTTCTGCTACCGTCAGAGCACCTGCGGCCATTTTTCTGTATATTTGTGCAGTTAGTTGAGTCGCTTGGCCTTGTTTAGTTGGCCAATCACTGCGTCCTCAGCGTTGCCTGTTTCTTTGTGCTTCTTCAAAAGAGCTCGGACAGCACATCTGGAAATTCCTGTCTGCCTTGAACTTTCTGCCTGGGAGAGACCTTGCTGATGCAGTATAACAACCGTGTGTCTTGTTGCTGTCCTTAGTCTGGTGTTTGATGTTTGACAGTAAACCGTCTTCAGAAACCTCAACTTGTTAGCTGGGTTTGGCTGTTCCTCACCCAGATGTATTCATCATACACAGCTGTTTCTATTTCAGTTAATGATTTTGTTTCAACCTACACATTGAGTTGGTGATCGTAGCACCTGATTGGTATAATTGTTTAATCATGCACTGGACGATATACAAAATCCTTTGTGCAAGTGTACCTGGAAGAATTGATAGAGTTTTGAAGGAAAAGGGTGATCACACCAAATATTGATTAGATTTAGATTTTTCTTTTGTTCACTCAGTTTGCATCTTGTTAATTGATATAATCTAATCTATTAACATGTCTATTTTTGAAAGCATTCTCAACATTTTTCTACACCGGCCTATAAACTGTTGCTGCATAGTACTGTATATAAATATACATGTTTATATGATTTTTACTTCAAGCATGGGTCAAGGTCCTATTTATGTAAAGGGTCAGGTTCTCAAAGGAAATAGGTTCTCACTTATATTTAGTGGTGTGTAGCCATGCAGCCATGTTTTGAAGGTTTTTCCACCCTAATACAATACAGTTGAATGGGAACCAAAACACGCAGAATTGTTACCGTTAAAAATAAACAGCCCTCCAACCCAAAAACAAACTACATTTGTGATGTTAGTGAACCCTTCCTTTTAAATGGGTTGTTGAGTTTTAAAAATTTCAGCTTTAAATTAAAGTAAATTAAATGCAAATAAAAACTGTCTCTCCACATAACATTATCAATAACAGTATTACTATAGCAATTAATGCATATCATGTCCAGAACCTTCTGAATTTCCGACCCAGCCTGGCTTTTCTTCCTGTTTTCCTGCTGTCCTTGCTTCTGTGAGTCTTGTTTCCCCTTTCATTGTCAGAGGGCTTATATCCCTGTTGCACTGCTATCACAGAACAGACACTTTGCAGATGTTTGGAGAGAGTTGCTTCCAAATTCTTCTGTGTGTGTGTGTGTGTGTGTGTCTGCTCGTTCCACCTCATTCCTCGAAGGGAAGATTTGTTCAAGATTCGTTCAAGACCAGATGATTTTCAATAGAGTTAGCTTACTGTACGACTGGTGCACCTGACAAGAAATCCATTAACATGAGAGTATTTGGGGATGCAACATGATTACAGCTCATTAAAATGACAAAAGACACACCTGTAAAAATGATTGCCACAGATTACAAGGACTGATGCGGATGTTATAAAGATTACAGCACATTACAATGTTTCTACAGTCTACACAATAGTCCTTGTCCAGCGTTCAGTGTGGTAATAAGATTATATGTGACGTGTTTTATGCTGTACTGTAGGTAAATGGATTATCACCAGAGGGGGTTGCACCTATTGTTCAAAGACAGGTGTATAGTCCTTTTTGCACTCACTCACAAATATCAGTACACACACTTGCAGACGCATACACAGTCTTTCACCCATACACACTCAACTTAAAACACATATCCGTATGCATGTGAACAAATGCAGACTCATTTCAATATGAATAAAACACGCTAGCTAAATGTTGTATGTGATATAGACAGGCCATGTCTTAACATTACCAGGTGTGAGTGATCTTACACACACACACACACTCACACTCACACACTCACACTCACACTCACACTCACACACACACACACACACACACACACACACACACACACACTCACTCACTCTTGCCAGTATTGTTCCGTGTTGGCAGGTGTATTGAGATGTGTAGCGTGGTCCAGTGAAATATGTGCAAGTAGGCCACTGATCCCTGTGAGTGCCATATCTCCACACACACACACACACACACACACACACACACACACACACACACACACATACACACACACCCCTCCATTGTCCCAGCTTGGCAGCTGTATTGAGGTAAACTGCATGATTAGAATATCTCTTTTACTCAAATGTGCCTGCAATGTCCACTCAGGAACAATAGTGATATCATCTGTGCACAATGGTCCCTACACACACATCAACACACACACACAGCTTTCACATCTAGTTTCATTGTACTGTATTGTGGATTTTAATACAATGGAAATCACTACAAGTGTCATTCGGCATGGTGTGACGCAAGCACTTGCTAAGACAGCCTAGTGTGTATAATGGTTTTAGTATGCAAATCCTGCCAAGAAGGACCACCCATCCCCAGACACTTACTTAGGAAACATTCTTACTTAGTGTATCATTTACAGAAGTTATCCCTAACCTATGGATTTACATGCAGAATAATTTCAATGGGTCACTCAGTATTAAGAAATATGATAGCTGACAGATATAAGAGGTACACATTTGTGTACTTTATGCACACAGATTGGTAATTTTAACCTACAAATCAATAATCGCCTAATATGTAGTTAGTTTGCTGCATTAAATTACAAGGGCGTTTCTCTTACCTCCACCTCCTAACACCCAAGATGCAGTATAATATTCTCAAGTGCAGTTTAAGTATATAAGAAACTTGAAAGTAAGACTTAAAGGTATATTTACTTTACTTACTTAAAGAGACTCAGCGGCTATTTTCATAATACGTAGTAAATACGATGCAAATTAATTTAATTAATGTACTGTAAACAAAGTTGATTTCCTCTGGTGATTAATTGACTGATTGATTTAGATGAAAAGTTCCCCTCAATGCATTATTGCATGTCTAATGTATTAAAATGTGTATATCCTTCATACATGACTTCCCAAACCTAGTCTCTAGTTACCGAAACATAATGACCATTATATATCTAATAATAATCTAGGCGGGAAATAATAGGAGTGTAATGCAATAAAATTTAAATAAACTGGATTTCCTCTGTTGTTTATACGGGGTGAATGATGGTGTGTACCAATCGCCTCTGACACAATGGCCCCTCTAACTTACTTAGCATAATCTGATATAAACTAATTCTCTGCAAAATTATCTCTTTTATAGATGATGAGATTATAATGGCCTGCTGCACAGGTGTCATGGTTCTGTGTGGCATCTCCTGTTCTGTCCAGCTTTCAGTTTATCTTGTAGCTCAATGAAGATAAAAAAAACAGAAACAGACACAATGACCCACCAGAAGTAACTCTGACAAATGAGAAAGTAAGAATAGATGAAAGTATAGAGATTAAAATAATAATATACCGTATAATTCAGTGTAGATGATAATAAACTAGAGTAACAGATAATACATCTCAGTTTTATTTTATATAAAGTAATGCATATTTTTTGTAGATTCATACAGTGCTAGGGATATTCTTAGTGACAGGAGTACTCATACTGTATTTTGATGAACCTGGGAATTTGATTTGATTTGGTTTCAACTTATTATCAGATTTATCAGAATTTTGCCAAGCATTACATTTAGCCAGACACTAAAACAAAAATTACAAACTCGCACACTTTATTGGGTACACTTGTTGAAATCACATGGAAGCAACTCAAATGCATTAAGGCATGTAGACGTGGTCAAGACAGCTTGCTGAAGTTCAAACCGAGCATCAGAATGGGGAAGAAAAGGGGATTGAAGTGACTGCAGAAACTGCAGATCTACTGGGATTTTCACGCACAACCGTCTCTAAGGTTTACAGAGAATATCCGAAAAAGAGAACATATCCAGTGAGCGGCAAAATTGCCTTGATGATGTCAGAGGTCAGAGGAGAATGGGCAGACTGGTTAGATGACTCAAATAACTACTCGTTACATCTAAGGTATACAGTGCACGTCAAACTTTAAAGCAGATGGGCAACAGCAGCAGAAGACCACACCGAGTGCCACTCCTGTCAGTCCAAGAATAGGAAGCTGAGGCTACAATTCACACAGTCTCACCAAAACTGGACAATAGAAGATTGGAAAAACGTCGCCTGGTCTGATTTCAGCTGACATTCAGATGATAGGGTCAGAATTTGACGTAAACAACATGAAAGCATGGATCCATCCTGCCTTGTATCAGAAGTTCAGGCTGGTGGTGGTGGTGGTGGTGTAATGGTGTGGAGGATATTTTCTTGGCACACTTTGGGTCCCTTAGTACCAACTCAGCATTGTTTAAACACGACAGCCTACCTGAGTATTGTTGCTGACCATGTCCATCCCTTTATGACCACCGTGTACCCATCTTCTGATGGCTACTTCCAGCAGGATAAAGCGCCTTGTCACAAAGCTCAAATCATCTCAAACTGGTTTCTTGAAAATGACGAACATGCACTCCAACGACCTCCACAGTCACCAGACCTCAATCCAATAGATCATGGATATGCAGCTGACACCTTGTTGAAAGAATTGCAGGCAGTTCTGAAGGCAAAAGGGGGTCCAACCGGTACCTTATAAATTAGCCAGTGCAATCAGTTTAATCACTTGCTTTCACATTCACTGCTTTACCTATGCAGGTAGTCAAGAAAAAAGCACATCAGCTGGGTGCAATACAATATAAATGTAAATAAATGGGACTTCTGGCCTACTGAGAACCCAAACTCAACATTTTCTCACAATTTACTTGGGTTAGATGAAGTAGTCAGCTGGGTTCTAGCCACTTATGTACAAATACTTTCTACTATTCTATGTTTCATATCATTGTAAATTTAAAATGGGATTATTGACTGTGTTTTATTATTTCTGACATTTAAGAGACAAGCTAATCCGTGGGATTCATTAAAAAAATAATTGCCAATGAAAACAATTATTAGTTATAGCAATACTCATCAGTCTTGGAATTGACAATCATTTAAAATTAGTTTAGTAAAGATACATGATTCTAAGTTGTGCTGCAGTTTTTGAAAATCGAAGACCCATTTATAATAATAAGCAATTAGTTGGAACTCTTTTAATTTGTCATTTGTAATCCGATTTATACCATGTATCTTTTATTATAATTTTTTTTTACTAATTGAGTTATAAGTCCTTTGATAATTACTTTGCTCGTCGGAGATTGATAACTGCACTCTTTATGTAATTATTATTAATGGCATAATGTAGTACACATACTTTATTTAAAACTTTCTGCCTGTCTCTCTCTCTCTTTTTCTCTTCCTCCTCCTCCTCCTCTCTCTCACCCTCCTAGAGCCCAGGAAGTTTTCCGTCAGGCAATGCGTTCCCCAATTGTCCGTTTGGAAGTAGTTCCGTCCTCCAACAGAGAACGCTACGAGAAGATTCTGATTGGTCAGCTGTCTGGCAACAGTGTCGGTCCCGACAGCAGCCCCCGAATCACCAAGACCAAAGAGCCACCCCCACCCGTCAAAGCCAAACCTGTATTTAAGCCCTCTGAGAATCCATCCGCGCCACTGGCAGAGGAAGCTGCTGTGAGTTACATCTCTACTTGACATCTAGACAGATCTATCTCACTTTAACTTACATGCAGTATAAGCTAGGTAAAATGTACTTAAAACACAATATGGACACCAAAAACTGAGACAAACTGCTATTAATTTTAATGTTTATGTATTTTTATTTTATGACTTTGAATTGTGTCAGGATGTGTTCAGTTTGTAGAAACATCTGGCATTATTTTTACTTGGTCCTGCCTCTTTCCTAGAACTATTAAGACAGATCAGACATTAGTTATTGTTTAAGCATGTAGTTAAATAAAAGAGCAGCTTGCTGCTTTCAAATCACCTGTCCTTAGCCTAATCGTGATTTTGCTGTCAAGTAAAGTTACAAATCTGCTTCAGTGGGACAATGGGGGGAAAAAACACAAATAACGTTGGGTGCTTTTCTGCTCTGAGTTGAAGTTTTTTCAAAACGCTCCTGCTCAAACACGAGACGCTCAGGGCCCATAAGCAACACGCAAAACTTCATTCATATTCAAACATATATAGTTGTGTCGTCAACATCACCATGTTGACATGGCTAACATTTGAAAAACAGCTGGCATCGAGGCAACAGGTATCTTGCAACAGGTAAAATTCTGTTATGCATATGTTGGAGCAGATTCATAAACTCTGAGCAAGGCTCGGCATTATTTCCATGTTTCTGGTAGTTCCTCACATAGTGATACATAGTGTCCAGGTTTGGCACAGTACAGCGTTGATGGCTTGATGGGTGTTTGGATCATTTTCACACACATTGAATTTTTCAGTTTAATATTGATTGAAGTTTTTTATCATTATTATTCTGTCATTATTCAGTTCTATAAGGAATGCTTAAGTCGATGACATTAACGATTACTTACAGGCTATTGCTTTGTTTTAACAAATATCACCTCATTCATAGTTTTTATTCATATTTTCAAAATATGAACAAAAGATCTTAAATCAACAGCTCACAGATTAAATAAAAGTGTTAAGCAATCAGGGCCTTGCTTTTAATGTATTTAAGTACTCTACATTCTCCACCTAGGCACACAAGGGGAGGAGTGAGAAAAGTGCAGCCCCCTCCAGTATTGTGGCCAATAAGAGAGGAGGACGAAGACTGAGAATCGATCTAAAGAAAGGTGAGGAACACCTGGCTACAGAACAGAGGTGTCTTTTTGGAGAGGCCTCAGATCACCATTGTTCTGTAAATGTTAGTTACTATACTTTACTGGCGTAAGTGTAAATACTTCTGAAGGCTCACACCTCTTATATTTGATCCTTTGATGCAGTTCCTCAATTTTCTCTTGTCCTTTGAAATCACTGTGTTCATTTTCAACACTTACATTTTCAAAAGTTCAGTTCTCTTCAAGAGAGATCCGTGTTCTTTTCTCTGCGTGTGTAAAAAGTGAATATTTTGTAGTCAATTTGGATTTCCTGTACAGTGTAAAAAAGTGGCATGTTTTTTTTTGTGTATGTCAGATCTGCAGTCCGGAAATTTAGGTAGAGCGAATAATGTTTCTAGAGTAACATGTTCTTTTTTCCTCTATATGTTTGTTCCACTTTTCAAGCTTTTCTTTCACATTAACTCTGTCAGTTTCTAGATTTACAATATTAACCTTTATTTCTTGTCATTTTCTGAGTGTCTATTATTGACACGCTTCATTTCTCCTGCTGTTTGCCCAGTGTTGCGCTTACTTCTATAAGGCTTCCTTTCTCTGTTCTCTGTCTGACTCTCCTTCCTCTCTCCATTTTCCTGATTCACTCTCTTCAGGGTCTATTAAGTCTTTATTGATCTGTTCATTTCTGCTGATATGAATTCATGCTGGACCAAACTGCTGACTTGGCTCTGCTAAAGAGACCAGACTAAATGAGGTCTATAAAGCACACAACTGGTCTGTCTGTCTGCGTGTGGTATTTCTTTGTACATCCATGCGTGTTAATGAGTGCGTTTGTGTGTGCACGTGTTTCACGCTGATCACTATTTTATCTTCATCACCCCTCTTTCCAGAACATTCACTCTCCGTTTCTGCTGCGGTACACTCATTCCTCTTTTACCTTTTTCTCATCTCTTCCTCATTTTCGTTTTCTCCTCTCTGCCCCACAACTGAACCCATTTTTGAAACCTTCACACCTGCAGATACTGTAGCACCAGCTATAGCTAAAGAGTTTAAAGCAACACACGCACACACACACACACACAATCTCCGAAGGCTTTAAATTGTCACACTCATAGTCAGGAGCTGAGTCAACAAGACTGAGGTGAAGTTCTCAGGAGTAGTTTCAGGTGTGTGTGTATGTGTGAGGGAGGATGGATCCTGTGGAAGACAAATATAGAGGCAAGGAGTAAACAGCAATACAGGATATTTGTGTGTTGCTTATGCTTGCATATTGTATGCGTATTGTTCTAGTCACATTTCTCTGTCTGTGTTTATGTATTTGTATATATGTGTCTAGGTCCGGAAGGTCTTGGTTTTACTGTAGTAACCAGAGATTCTTCAGTCCACGGCCCTGGTCCTATCCTCGTCAAAAACATTCTGCCTCGTGGAGCCGCTGTCAAGGATGGACGCCTTCAGTCTGGAGACCGCATACTTGAGGTACAAGGCAGCTGACTGCCCTGCATTGTGCATGCGATTAGGCAACAAACATTGTGAGGCATTAAAGGGAAAATAAGGAGGATCGGTTAAGTCTAGTGAGGATGAAGAAAAAAATTTATTTATGCTTAGAATGGTGGTGTTTTGATTTGGCGTGTGTGTGTGTGTGTGTGTGTGTAGGTCAACGGTGTGGATATCACAGGTGTGGGCCAGGAGGAGTTGGTGTGTATGCTACGCAGCACGCGACAGGGAGAGAGTGTGTGTCTTGTGGTTCTACGGCAGGAAGACATGTTCCTGCCCCGGGAGATGGTAAGAATCAGTCACAATGCTGGATTGTCAGCCAATAATACAGGATTTACTGGTTGATTGACTCATTTTTTTTCAAACAAGGCAGCCAGAAAGACAGGCAGACAAAACCGCATCAGCAGTTTTCCTTTTCAAATTTTAACTCCGTCTAATTTTGCAATTTTTGATCCAATCAACAGGCTTGCCTGGATGATGCACAGCTCAGCAGCCTGTAGGAAGGCTTCTTTTTATAGACATTAACCCTAAATGTAATTGATGGCTTTTTTGAATAATCTGAAACATGATACAACTCCTTTCCAACATTGTTCTCTCTATAAACCTTACAAACAATCGTGTGTTTAAAGAACTCCACTCTTATTGAATCAAATGCTTTATATTGAAATTGTTAATCTTTTGTGCCAGTCTTTCCCTGCCACATTGTTCCAGCTGAATTTCAACACTGTTTTGATTAATAAACACTTATTTAACTCATCTTTGTTCTATTTTTCTATGCCTTTTCCTTAAATCTGACTCTGCATGATCTTCTGTTGTGCATGCATTGATGCTAATTATAGCTCTCTCTATACGTTTTCCAAACTAAAATAATATATTTTTCTCACTCATTTACTGACAACCTCTTAGCCTGTTGCTGTTTGCTCTTCAACACAGTAACTCATTTCCTTATTGAAATATTTGCTTCTTCCCCATCTACTTTCACCCTTCTTATACAGCAAATCTGGAGCCCTTCAGCCATCCTTTTTCCTTGAAAGTTTTGTTCTCTCAAACAGTGGATCCCAAAGTTAGTGCCTTGAGGATGAGTCTAGAGTGCCATATTATTGTTAAAATATTTATAGTTTTAAATAAAGTTTAACCACATAAAAAAAATCAGAGACATTTACATTAACAACATTTTATGATTTCAAAGTAGAAGAAAAACAGTAAATATTAAAGTGGCTATATTAAAAACTCTGTTTAAAAGTTAGAAAAATAGTGATTGTCAGAGCAAGCAATAGAATGGTTTGATTTTTAAACAGAGCTCAAAGAAAAACATTTCAGCCCTCAGCACAGTCTGAGACGACCAGCAGCCAGACTGAACACTACTTGGCTAATGGCTTAATGGACATATTTTGGCTGCCTGTGGAAGACAGAATATCCATCATCCACTGCGGTATTGCACATTCCAAAAATCATATACAGTATGTTTGAAAACAAGAGCAAGAAACCTCCTCTCAGTGGACTCAGACCTGCAGGTTGTGCTCTCTCCCCCTACTTAAACAGCAGGCTCTGTTTTTTCCAAGTGCGGTTGTATGGTCTGCACCAGAGTTAGATTGACAGCTTTCATACCAGCCCAAATGAACCATGTTAGGTGATAATGCACCCATAATATTCCTATCTAGGGATGTGATGAGAACTCGCACCACGGGATCTCGCTAGATGAAATTGTGACAATATTTCTCGTCAGGTAAAAAGCTGTCTCGCGAAACTCACGCAAATGACATTTTTCACACACTGTCAAGCCACACATTAATTTTCTCATGCAGTGACATACAAATGTATAACTGATAAGATAGACTCACGCAGCGAATCAACTCCGCACAGCTGATTGACACCGGCGTAACCCGCTCATGCTGTGAGTCCAGGCAGCTGTGATGAGCGGTAACGTAGCTGGTATAGTTTTAAACTGAAACGCAGCCTTGCTCTGTTTGGAACTATGAGCTGCACTTTATCTGAGCTGCTGAAGTTAGCGTGTGGATTCGTGGTGAGATTTCTGCCTGATCAAAAGTGTTTAATTTACTCTCTGTTTCACATGACATCACTAACTGCGTCAGTCAAATGGTCTGAAGGGGATGACGTTACTACCAGTGAATAAATAATGTAATGCACAGCAGAATAAAGGGCATCTGATTTAAACGATAACGTTAGTCTTGTAATATTCTGTCTTTTCTGTGGACATGTCAGAGATCACAGATCATGTGATGAGCAGAAAATCTGCTGAAACACAGGAGCTATTAAAGTAGTTTATAACTAAATTAAAATTTAATAATTAATCGTTGAGGTGACTAAATCATGACTCAGCGGGGATGATAGTACATGAGAAAAGTTGATCTACAGGAGAATCAAGTCTGAAAGCAGCACAGAATGACTGAGAGCTGCACTGCATTATGTTCTGTCACAAGGCACAAGGTTGTTTATTAGTCATTATACAGCACAAGGCTGCATAACGAAACGAAATTTGTCATAATACATGTAGAATAATACAAAGTCTTACTTTCTCATAATATTATAAGACCATCAGTTTCCATTAGGCCCAGTTTGCTTTTGTCCCCTCTCCACCCATCGCTGACGTCTTTCCCCATCTCTTACTGTATTTTATTCTTTTTATGTTGCCTTTTATGTCTCTTTTCCCTTTGTATCTCTTATCGACTGAAGTTTCCTCAACGGCTGCCAGGAAGTTCCACACACCCACACACACACACAGAGACGTTCATGCGACCCCGAGCCCCATAGGAAATTCTGTTTCTGCAGACAGGAAAATGAGCATTGTGTTGGAGTGTATACACGTGTTAACATTTAGGATCGTTTGTTAGGGTTTTATCTACTCCCGTGTTGTACGCATGTCTGAACTCATTGGCAGTCTTCTTTGTGCACTGACCAAGTGTTACTGAATACCTCCACTTGTCACACTGTTAACTCAAAACCTCTCAACTACAGCGGAGACTCCTGAAAACGTACTTAAAAAGCTCCCTTGGTAGCCAATTCCCAGGGGAATGAATCATGATGTTTTCTAGCTCCCAGATGAATTGTCATTGTAACCTGCGGAAAATCGTTGGACCTTTTCTAAAATGTACACTAAGTAGGACACAAGGCATTGATTTAACTGGCTGATGCGTATACATGTTACCACGGTTACAAAATTATTTGCATTATGATAAGAACTCTTCCTGAACAGTTCACAATCAGCAAATGCATTTAATTGTTAGCTTTTGAAATCGATCTACAATCGCTAAATACTGTGTTCACAGCAAGAATAGAAATGTGAGTATTGTCCTTCTGCATGAAAAACTGCACAGACAACTACGCACCAAAATATCTCCCAAAGGTAAAGCGTTGTTCTCTGAATTGTCTACATTTGGAGGCTGCTTAAAACATTCAACTATTCAAGGCTGCTGTTTGTGTGTCTATGGAAGAGTGTGATGCAACTGTGTGTAGTGTGTGTTTTTTTGTGTTTCTGCTGTTGTAGCTGAATTTAGAGTTATATGTGGGGAAAAATAGGGCACGTGGTGGAAAGATGTATAAAAGACATGTATTGGTTGAAAGGAAGACTGATGAGGATCCAGCCCCATCACCCTGAAGTGCAGAATGAGAATGAAAAATGAACGGATCGACACTCCATTACAATTTAGTGTGAAAACTGATAAATTGCATGGGTAAGCTGCAATTTCTCATTAGCACGCTTAGCTCAGCTTGAATACATCACTCTAGGTAGTTGATGACTGTGTGTGTGGATGAATGTTGAGAATGATGATATAGAGACTCAGGAAGATGTGGAACTGCAAACAGGAAATGGAACGAGGAACCCACTCTGGCTTTAGTGGTTTTTGATAAAACCGCTATAATTCACTTTTGTTTGTAAGGGATGTCTGGAGTGAGTTTGGTGTGTCTGTGTCTGCCTCTCCCTTTCTGTCCCGAGTGTCTCTCTATCTTGCCCTCACCAGCTCTTCCTGACAGACAGTACGCCCAAATACAGTTCACCTCTGTCTAATTAACGGCTGATGGTGTTTGTTCAGCAGTCATAACAGTTTTCAAGAACAAATGCAATTGTAGTTCTGCGCAGTGAAGCTGTGAACACACTCCTTGATAGAAATTTTACATGTGTTATAGTATGGTAAAGTAAAGTGGGAGGGGGGATTTCAGGACTGTGATCCTCGTCCAACAGCTGTTTTAGTGGTGAGAGTTTGGTCGCTTGGTTTCATTTCTTCAGCTCTTGTAGCATAGAAAAGAATCAAATAAACCCTTTTCTATGATATGGCTAGCATGGTAGAAATATAATTGGAGATGATAAAAACGAGTGTACTAATGTATAGCTGTTGAGAAGGACTGAACATGGTACTGAGTTGTTTGACCTGTTGAGGGTCACTTTGCTAGGGTTAGTCTGAAGACATACACACATGTGCATACATGATTTGCATCACTGTTTTCTTAACAGGCAACCTCTGGCGGTCATATGCCTAGATATTGACTGTCCTCTTTCAGAAGCAAAGGCAGATGTAGTGCTAACTGGCTAAAAGCTCGCAGGGAGGAGGTCGGCATGGGAAGTCAGGCATAAAAAGTGTCAGACTTCAAACAACAGGAAATAATGGTTTCTTTTAACCACGACACAGTCTTTTGCAAGCCTTAACCAAGTAGGTGATCGGACCATAACTATAATGGTGGCAGCGTAGTACACAGTCGTAACGGTCATATGGATCATGTTGGAAGGCCCTGACATTGTTGTCATGTACCTTCAAATTAAGCCTCTATGTTTAAAGCTTTCTCTTTTTAATTTAATCTTTAACATTTCTGTCACTGTGATGAAGTATCGTAAAGCAAATAAACATTTTTGGGTGGAGATGCTCTCTAATATTGCTGAGTGTTGACTGAGTTATTCAGGTCTGCGAAGTGCATAGATACAACAAATTTCATACTCTGTATTTTCACACCTCAAAATCAGGCATAAGCCGAGCAGTATTATTACTCCTCACTAACTGGAATTGTTTCCATGTTTTGCAATGTGTGTTTCACACCAAACAGCATTCACACCAGTTTTGTAGCAGGCCTCTTGCCGCTGCAGAGTCTGGTAATGTGCTGACAGTAGCCATGTTTCCATCTAATTGTCATGCAAATTTAAGCAGACTTTTGAAATGTTGCAAAAAGAAATAAAGTAATAGCGAAACATGTGCATTTCCATCAGCTGGTTTGGAGCAAATTAACCAGGCTACGGCAAGCGTAGATACGTCAGTAGCTGACGTTACACATGGCGGTAA